TTGAGAAATACCAAGGGCTGAAAGAAGAGCTAGAAAAGATGTGGAAGGTGAAGGCACAAGTGGTCCCCGTGGTAATAGGAACATTGGGGGCTATGACCCCCAAACTGGGAGAGTGGCTCTAACAGATGCCAGGAACAACATCTGAGATCTCTGTCCAGAAGAGTGCAGTCCTAGGAACAGCTAAGGTACTGCACAGGACCCTCAAGCTCCCAGGCCTCTGGTAGAGGACCTGAGCTTGAAGGAAGGAATACAAGACCACCTTAAAGTGTGGGACAAGTGGGAATTATATATATATATGTATATATATTTTTCCCCTTGCTTTTTTTTTTCTTCCTAGGTCTGCCTCTGCCCTGTTACTTTTATTATTTATTTATTTATTTTTACCATAGAACATGACATACAGAGATGGGTGAATATACCACACATGTTTTAGTGTCTGTCAAACTGTGAGTATTTGTCAGAAATCCACAAACATTTATTGCCTCTAACGTGTTTGTCTTTGTCTACTCTCTTTGCAGTGGGAAGAGGTGAGTGGTTACGATGATGCCATGAACCCTATCCGGACTTACCAAGTCTGCAATGTACGTGAAGTCAATCAGAACAACTGGCTACGCAGTGATTTCATCCCACGAAAGGATGTGCTGCGCATGTATGTGGAGATGAAATTCACAGTGCGAGACTGCAACAGCATCCCCAATATCCCAGGTTCCTGCAAAGAGACCTTCAACTTCTTCTACTATGAGTCAGACTCAGACTCTGCCACAGCCACCAGCCCTTTCTGGATGGAGAACCCATATGTGAAAGTGGACACTATTGCTCCAGACCAGAGCTTTTCTATGCTCGACACTGGAAGTGTAAACACAAAAGTCCGAAGTTTCGGGCCACTGTCCAAAGCTGGGTTCTATTTGGCCTTCCAGGACCTTGGTGCTTGCATGTCACTCATCTCAGTGAGGGTGTTTTATAAGAAGTGCTCCACCACAATTGCCAACTTTGCCGTTTTCCCAGAGACAGCAACTGGGGCTGAGGCCACATCCTTGGTTATTGCACCAGGAACTTGTGTCCCCAATGCCCTGGAGGTGTCCGTACCACTGAAGCTTTATTGTAATGGAGATGGAGAGTGGATGGTTCCTGTAGGAGCCTGCACCTGCTCAGCTGGTTTTGAACCAGCAATTAAAGATACCCAGTGTCAAGGTGAGAGTTTTTACAACAGATATTTTATGTCCGTCCAGAATTTCATTATTCAGTATTAGCAATATTGGATTAATCTAGAGATTAAAGAGTCAACAGGGTGCGTAAAGTTCAAGCCCTTTCTTTACTGCCAAAGTGATCCACGGTAATCTATGCAAATTTTAGAATTTAGCTTATGTCACAGTCTTCCCTTCTTGGAAGATGATGGCGAGGCTGGAAAGATTTCCCTATAATAATCAATAATTACATTAGTACTCCTGAGAAAAATCACATTTACATTTCACGTACACAGTATCTGATGCTCCTACACAGAGTTAATTACAGTGAATGAGTAGAGAAGATTCAAAATCTTTCTGAAGGACATGTTATCTGACACATGACTGCTGTGGACACATTGGACAGATTGAATTGGTGTTGTTTTGGCTTTCACTGGATTGTCCAGCTGTCATATTATTATGAACCATTTATTTGCCTTGTATTCTTTGACGCATTATTCCAATGACTACAGGGTAAAATAATACCCAGTAGATGACACTGTCAGCAGGCGGATGTTCACTCTGACCTCAGGTTTGGCTGGCAGCTGGTTGCTAAATAAATGAAAATGCACGGGGAGGCTGTCTGTTTATGAGAGCCAGGAGGCCCTATGATGGTTTCAGGTCTGATGGAAAACATGATGGGATCATAGAGGTTGAGAGCAAGGTGAATTTAAACAGCAAGGTCTCTGCTGAAATGGAGTGCAGGTGACAGTAAGAGCAGAGGGAAAGATAAATGGAAAATATGTGTGTGGTGGAGGGCATGGGGGAGTAACGTTAGGCTTAGGGAGCGTAGGTCAAATGGAGACACCAGAATGAGAGAGAGAGAGAGAAAGGGGAGCTGTCAGGGTTATTGATCAGCAAGGCTGATTGGGAGGTGTCTGTGCATGCATACTTTGTGTAATGCTTTGCACATCATTCTCACTTGCCTGAGGGTTCATTCTTCTTCTTATAGCAGAATGACATGAAGCTGAGAAGACCATTTGTTCAGTAACCATGTGGGCAATTAGGCAAAGAGTGGGTTGATATTTTACCCTGGCAGCTTCTGTAAGACCCTTATTGGATGTGTGCATATCGTTTGAAGAGAGAGTGTATGTGTGTAAGAGTGAGGGCATAGTAAATTTATGGTATATGTGATTAAACGCTCATTCTTGGCAATTCAGGGTTAAAGCAACAGGATAAAACATTCTTTAATAAAGCATTAGTGGAAACCACAAGGGATAACCCTCCTTCCCTTCCTCTCTTCTCACATCATCTTTCCTCAGGTCCACTCGCCGTTACTCCATTTTCATTTTCTTCATCCATTGGCTGTGACTCATCTTTTGTCTGCTTTCCTGTCCTCATTCCAACATGCACTATCTCCTCTAGCTCCACCACTGTTGCTTTCCTTTTCTCTGTCCTAGTCTTCACCAGTCACACTCCTTCCTAATCTGAAAGCTGGAGCTCTCATTAATAAGCCACCAGAGTCACAGTAAGGATGTCTGCATTAATATTAATCGATGATCCTTTTTCTTTCCTTTCCACTCGTTTGTCGCACAGTTTTCACCCCAATATTCTTTGCTTTTTCCTTCATGCTCCACACTTTCCAATTTCAGCATCCATTCTAATCACTTCCTTAAGCTCTATGTTCTGCATGACAGGATAAGACACAGGGGAGTGTGGAAGAGGGGGAAAAGCGCCTTCAGGATTAGCATTTTCTGTGTTTCGACCTCTGCCCCCCTTTTTTCTCTACTCCCTTGTCTCTCTTTCTCCCTCATTCCTTAGTGGCTCCTCTAAGGAGAAAACGGAAGAAAGAAAGAGGAGAAGAAAAAAAACCCTTTATTCACAGGAAGTGAATGATCAGCACTTTCAGTCCTTCCCTAATAAATAAATATATTCTCATAATGAGAATACTCTTTCAGTGTCATTCGTTAGGCTAATGTGTTTTCATCCCCTGCAAATTGAAAAATAGTTTGTAGCTTGTGAACGTAAATAGGTCGCAATACCAAATCACAAAAGTTGTTCTCCCACCAGGTAAAAGTCAAGGTCATTTCATATCTGTTTGTCATCTAGTACTTCCTCTGGTGTGGATGATTCTGATTAATGGCGGAAGAACAAATAGACTCAGTACTAATGTACACAGTGCAGTCAACTGTTGGTTTTAGGCTAATATTGAACTTTCAAAAATGGGAATCACAGCAGGAGCAGGAAGTAGTTTTCTGTAGATTCGAACTCCAGCCTTAGCTTTTTCCAACAGGGAGTGAAAAAGCAAACTCAGAAGCTATGGTGATAATTAAGTATATCTTTCAGAGGGCAAAACATAGCAATGTGTCCTTGACATTGACGAGCTAATGCACTAGTGGGTCAGCTAATCAGCTGGCCCCTGTAAACTTTGCTTGTCTTACTTGCTCTTGTCTTTTTTATTAGGCATTGCAGCACACTCATTCATCTTTTAACAAGACAGTTTATCAAAGATATGGAGCCTGACAAAGTGTTCTGGATCACAGTGCCGCTGTCAGTGTTTCCATGTATATCTGCAGCTTATCAGCTGAGTTGTAAATGTCCAAACAGCGGCTATAAATGGAGACAGGGCATTTACAAAGGCTAGCAGTGTTTTCATCTGATTAACTGGGCTTCACCTAATCAAGAACCAGCTTAGGTAAAACTATGTTGAACTTGTTTTGTGTGCATCTGTAAAGGAAATTATCTCAAAAACAGAAGGATGCAGAGATATATTTTGAGAAAAGCCTCTTAAAACTGAGTGCACTGAAATGACTTCAGGCCAGGATGCTACGTCTGTGTGTGTGTGTACAGACATGTATCTTTGCACAGTCATGAGCAGACCTGTGTTTGTGTGCACACTGGCATATGGCATGTGTGCCTCTCTGATTTGTTGTCTATGTTTATATGTATTTCACAAAAGACTGTATTCAGAAGAAAGCATCACGTCAGTGTTTTGCCGCCGAAGGTCGTGTATGTAATTTGGCTTGACAGTCTGTTCGTGTGAGCATGGATTTATGCAAACAGCTACATGATCATCAAACACCCCTCTCCTTTTCCACTACTGACAGATGTCTCCATAACCAAAGGAAAGGGGGATATCTGGGGTTAAGGGGACAAAAACAAATAATATGCATGTGCACACATGCAAACAGACAGACACATCAAATATGGTGTCATTTTACCAGTGAGCTGGAACATTGTTTCAAATGCAGACCATGTGAACATCAAATTATACAATATAGCTAAGAGGAGAATGCATAATGTTGTAAATGCTTGTATACTAAAAGTAAGCATTACTGAAAGTAAAATGTATTTTCAGTATTTCCATTCGAGAAAAAATGCTGCCACTTAGGAAAATGTTGCTCACACATATATATAAGTGTAGCAAAAAATGGTTTTACCTAAAATCGTCATACACAAGCCAACTCCCTTCTATGCGCCAAACCAATAAATTAATCAAGTTATTATTCACATTTTTTCCTCCATCTTTCTCTCTTTTGTCATTAGCTTGCAGCCCTGGCACCTTCAAGTCCAAACAGGGAGACAGCTTCTGCTTGCCTTGTCCAGTCAACAGCCGTGCCACCTCAGGAGCAGCCAATGTTTGCTCCTGTCGAAACGGTTACTACCGCTCAGACACTGATTCTCCAGAGTCCCCCTGCACCAGTAAGTTAATACAGAAATTGGTTTACACATCATATTGAGATAGTTATAGTTATGTTGTTAACTATAAAACAAAATATTTGATTCTGTTGTAAATGTTCTCTCAAACTTCCCTCTTTGAATTGTGCCCTTAGTGGCTGATAAGAGCTCTCAAGAGTACATTCCCACCACGCCACACTGACAGCAAACAAGTTTGCTTGCTTTCCCAACATTATCCAAAACGTTATCATCAAATCCCTCCCCTACCCGCCTTTTTGTAAAGTCTATTTATTCTCAGTGCTGCCACCCTATTACAGACAGAAAGTAGAGGAATTTTTGTAGTGCTAGTGCTTTCAGCAAACACGCACACAGAAGCTAATTCATTCACCGCTGAGCAGTGCAAGAAGATCCTTTTTTCTGTTGCAGGGGTGGGGATCTGATTCTTTCACAGTGCAGTGAGAGATAAGGCCCCGGTAATTGGATAAGAATTGCCAAGGCGCTGCCAATAGTTTGTCTCGCTCATCCCCCTAGCACTTTACGCACACACACAGAGACACACAGTGGAAATGAGCATGCAATTCAAATTTGAACTCCTGTCCTTTTTTTTCTTTTTTGCAAAACTGCTGGAACAGTCTCTTGTTATGTGGAAGGGAAAAAATTATACTTAATACATGAAAAATGTACTAATACCAGAGCACAACAAAAATTCATGGGTCATGAATTGTGTTGATAGCAGCTAAGGAATAATGGATGTATGCGTGTATAATGATATGTAAAATGTGTTTTTCAAGATGAATCTTTGTCTATTGTTAATATGTCTCTGCACTGTCACCAAGATAAATTTCTTTACAGCTATTGTGCATGGAGATTAAATTCATTCTCATTCCAAACCTATTTTCCTCATCTCATCCAAGCTTTACCTTCCTTTTGCAGCTGTTCCCTCTGCACCACGTAGTGTGATCTCCATTGTGAACGAAACCTCTCTCGTGCTAGAATGGAGTGAGCCACGTGACTTGGGTGGTCGTGACGACATCTTCTACAATGTCATCTGTAAGAAGTGCCTGCCTGAGCGGGGAATGTGCTCACGGTGTGATGACAATGTTGACATCTCACCACGCCACCTGGGCCTAACCCAGCGCCGCGTGGCAGTCCGTAACCTACAAGCCCACACACAGTACAGCTTCGAGATCCAGGCAGTCAACGGTGTTTCCAACAAGAGTCCCTACACACCTCAGTTCTCTGCAGTGAACATCACCACAAATCAGGCTGGTAGGTACAGCTGCAGCCTTGTGGCTACCTGTCAAAGATCTATATTGAACCCATAAGCACTGCCAACTTTCAAAGGCTGGACAAAACACAAAAGAATGTCAGATAATGCAGTCTGCACCTAAGAAGTACGAATCGGTTTCTTGTATGTATGTAGGAGTATGTTGCATATTTTTTCCCTTTGAACAAGGATTGAGAAAGGAGGCATTCTTCTGAATGAGCTTAGAAAGGGACCTTTTTCACACGCCCACAGCAGGCTCTGTACTAACACCACTGCAAATAGCAAATAGCGAGGCAGTGTGTATTCAAAATGTTGAACCTTCAGTATTCTAGCTTCCCACTGCTTCTCCAGCCCACTGCTTCTCCAGCCCACAGCATTAACTAGGCCAATGCTGAGATTAAATTTTTTTTTTTTTTTTTTTTTTTTTTTTTTTTTATAAGATTTAAATCCCCCTAATATTTGAAGATTGAATCCCAGCTAATGTATATACAGAACAACTTAAAGTAGTAGTGATAGGTTTGTATACTTGTTCACTGCTTGAGATTTTTACAATATAAATTTGGTTCTAAATTGATTTATTGATTTTGGATTGCAATAGGCAGATAGGCAAACTGGTAGTAGGTAGCTAAGCAGATTGAACATTTTTACAATTTAATTTAGAAATTTGTAAATTTGGGTCAGTTTGCCTGAAACGGTCTCAATAATTTTCAGTGCTGTTGAGCTTACTTTACACTTTTCTTTTTGTGAGTTGGTCTCTCCCATGGCTCTTAATTTATTCCTTGGCTGTGTTTAGTCACTATGTTAAATTTACACTTTCTGCAGGCTTAGACAACACAAAGGATTATCCCTTGCTCCATAGCTCATCATCTCTCTCCTCCCCCATAGCCTCTCCTCATCACCTCTAACCTTATGTTCCTGCTCCTAAAAGATGCTTTAGGAATGCCTTCTGTTTGTGGGTCTGGGACTCAAAGGCCTCACAGGGCCTCATGTGAGTGCCTCATTGTTCTACAAGGGGTCCGGCACTGGGCTGACAGGGACCACCGTCCATCTTTGGGTGCTTTGGGTCAGTTGGGTTCAGAGAGAGAGAGGCGAAGTGAAAGAAGAGTGCAAGAGAGCATCAACTGTGATCAGATTATCCTCTGGTGTAGTCCCAAGACTATCCCTGCATGTACATTCACCTTTTAAGAACCAAAATAAATACTAGGATGGTGATAAGCCCCAGGGCCCACCTCCATGGTTACCACAACGTCTTCTCCTGGAGGAGGGCCCCTAATCCCTTGGCGAGAGTAACCAGAGGATCTGCCTAGTCAGTATTGTCTTCTTAGGGGAACGAGAGACTTGGAAGGCCAGAATGGAAGAGGCTGTAGAGGAGGGAAAGAAGCAGGGAAAGGAAGGTTTGGGGAGCAGAGAGAGAGTGAAACTGAAGGATGTGGCCACAGTTCACTGAATGGCGGTCACAGCAAGCACCAGGATGGCCACAAACACAGGCAGCAGAGGGAGAAAGGAAATGCAAGGGGAAAACTGTGGATTATAAGGCTTTTAACAAAAAATGGGAATAGTGTGGGGGGTGGAAGGGGGTAAAGGAGAGAGACTAAGACAGAGAGGGGTTGGAGGTCTGCAGTGATGAAAAGAAAGATAAAAATGAAGAGCTAAAGAGGACAGGATAAAAAGCAAATTTAAAGAAAGTACAAAGTGAGAAACAAAAGAGGAGACCATGACATGCAAAAAGGAGAACATGACTCTTCCTCAACACTTATTCTAGATGATGAAGCATAAGTGCAGCAACAGTTCAGCAAGAAAGTTAAAAGTGTGAAATACCTACATCTGTATGCGTCTGCTTGTTACAGTATGTGTAGGGCAGAGAACTCCATGTGCCAGAGCCATATCCATCAGTTTTGCAGTTTTATTATCTTGTCACAGAAAAATCAGACATCGCCTCTCCCTCCCCAAGGACTCTGAGAGGGAGAATTTGAGCATTTGTGGGGAATGGTTCTGCATTCTAACTATTGACCAAGGCTTTTCACAAAGCCCACAGCCTAAGACTTTGTGTCTGGGCTTCTGTTGACACACAAAGGGCTAGAACTTGAAAGGGCATAACACAGAAAATGATAAATCAAATGGATTTTCCTTTGTTTGTCTTGCCCTATGCAGCTCCATCTGCAGTGCCTACAGTTCACCTAATGGCGGCCACAGCGAGCACCATGAGCCTGTCCTGGCTGCCTCCAGAGAAACCCAATGGAATAATTCTGGATTATGAGATTAAGTACCATGAGAAGGTAAGCGGCAGTGTAAGTCAGTGCCTCTAATTCAATCCAATTTCATTGACTTGCATGGTCTCTATTTCATCTGTGTTTCTGTAAATTTGGAAGACTATGCCACTGCTGATAAACACATGGTTGCAGTGAGGCAAATCACCATTTCCAATCTTAGCTTGTGTGATCGTCCTCTCCTACTTATTCCCGTTTTTGCGTTCATCTATCCATCCTTCCAATTTTCTCTTTATCTTTTCACAGTCCTTTCCCATATTTCCATTATGCTTTACAGTTTTCTATACCCCTAATTCCATCTCTCCCTCTTGCCCTCTCTCTTACCCCCATCTCCCCTTAATCCATGCATTATAGCATTTCTGTATTTTCCAGAGGCCCAGAGAGTTGTGACTTGATTTGCCTCAGGGAGAGAACAAAGGCGCTCAGTGTATATCTGCTCTGTTTGCAGTCTTGTCTTTTTTGCTTCAGATTAACACACTGACTACAATCTATGTCTCTTCACTACTCTTTCTCACTCATGTTCTCCACATTTTTTTTGCCTTCCTGCATGGTTTTTAGATTGGTCAGCCATGTCGGGGGGCAGACCATGAGAGACGGGAGGATGATGAATGAGACAGCACAGAGGGCTGCGTTTTAATTTTGTTTTCATCACTGACTGTCCTTGTGTCTGCAGGATCAGGGTGAGGCCATTGCCCATACTATGACTGCCCAACGGAGCAATGCCCGCATTGAAGGTCTCAAAGCCGGTACGCCTTATGTGGTCCAGGTCCGTGCCAGAACAGTGGCTGGTTATGGTCGTTACAGCAGCCCAGCTGACTTCAGCACCAACCTGCAAAGTATGTAACTCATATACCTACTTTATTACCTAGGGATATACTGAGATATTTGTGGCTTAGCAGCAATAACTCTTTAATAGTGCTGTGCATAAGCTTATGGACATAATGGAGGCTCAAAAGCTTATACAGCTAAAAGCCGCTGCACCTATTTTTCATGCAAAAATACCTGAAATGCTTATGTAGAAACTGACTTATGATTTGGTAAATATCAGCCTAGCTCTTACTCTACATCATACTCATTGTTAAGTAGACCAAGTATAAGAACTTAATAATATGTATTTATAAATGCATTTATTAGTTTCACATCACTCCACATTCTGTGAGTAGATGTGATTGGTAGATGTGACCGGTTTACAAGCCAATAGTTTGACTCAGCAGAGGACACAAAGCGGCACAGTCTTCGGTTATACAAATGGATTGCAGCTAGTGTGGGTGCATGTGTGTGATATTTTTGTAACTCTCTCTCTCTCTCTCTCTCTCTCTCTCTCTCTCTCTGACACCTAAAGCTGACCCTTGCTGTTGTGGTCATCGCTATCGTCTGCCTCAGGTCAGAAACTTCTCTATCAGCCTCTTAAACAGTCAGACATAAAAGATGAGCATCTTTAGTAGCAATTGTAGATAACAGCGTGGCAAACACTTCTACACCAACTCATTTACTTTCAGCTGGCCTAGAGAAAATGTTCAAACAGCAAAGACTCACAGAAACATTTGTGGAAAATGTTTTTCCTTCAAGCTGAAAAAAATTGAGATAGCCTCAAATGTCAACTTTGTTTGCATGTCCTCCAAATCACCCCCGGACAGTCTCAGTGGATTGCGGTGCCACCTGTGAGGCCACTGAATGCCAGATTAGCCTTCTGAATCTGTGAATAGTAAATAGCTTTTGGCCAAAATGCTGCTTTGCTCACTGGACACAGCATGGTGGAACAGCTGTTGGGCTTGATAGGCCTGCCCTCATGGCTCGGCGCTCAGAGTCAACTGAGTGGTTGCCCGACCAAAAAGAACCCAGATGCGCCCTTGTCTGCTGGGCCCACTTGACTGGGAAGAAGCAAGTGCCTGCTCTCACCTTTCAAACAGTTTGACACTGCATCAGATGGGTCTACCCATACTTGTTTAGCCTTATACCATTCATTTATCAGACACAAATGCAGTGTGTGTGTGTATATGTGTGAAAGGTTGGCACCCACTGCTGACTGACGCCCATTGGGTTCCCTCCATAAGCCAGTGTAGGCAGCGGCTGACAAGCGTGGGCATCGGTCACGCTAGACTGAATAATAATCTCCCTGGCTCCCCCTCCTCTCCTTCTCCCTTCTGCCTCTTTGCTCTCTCCTATTTTCACACCACTACATTGTGTCTCTCTCAAGGTCTTGGCTTAGCTGCTGGTCTGGCTGCCACAGAAGAAGAAAAGAAAAATACTAATAATACAAAACACAGAGCTTCGACATATTCAGGAACCAAATTAGAATTTGAAATAACATGCAAATCACCATCGGGTATTATTGCCCTGGTTACTGGTTAAACAACAAAGGAGGCACATTAACATGTAATTTCAACAACCCAGCCCCCTCGCTCTGTCATCATCTTTGTGCACCCCTTCCACAAACCCCCTGCCCCAAATGCAGAAGGGACATATGTGGAAAGATACAGATAGAGGATACAGAAACCAAAAGACACGAGTAAAAGAAAAAAGAGAGAAGAGCAATGGAATAAAAGGACTGACAGAATCACCGCAAGATAGGGAGAGTCCATGAGGAGTAAACGAGAGGCAGATTGAATTGAAATAAACAGTGCAATATCTGTAGGGTGAGGGAGGCAAGACAGCTGAGCTTGCTGTTTGAATCTGCTTTTGTTTCAGCTACTCATTTTGGGGGAACCAAGAGTGAATGGCTTTCACCTGCTGCTTCAGACAATGGTGTGATATCCTTTTGTTTAGACTCGAGTTACAGTCCCCAAGTATGAATTATTTTACCACCAGACACCGATACAGTCTTTAGGTATAGTGTATCCCTTGCGTCCAATGTGAAAAGAATATCAATCCTCACCAAGCCCTGTCTTCATGTGGCTACATTTCTACTGACATCATTAGGGATCTGTTTTCTCATCATGCCTTTGTTCCTTTCCAGTATTTGCAGCCTGCTGTGTAGAGTTCATGTGACTCAGTTTGTATTTTCATCTTTCTCAACAGAAAGCAGAGAAATGGTTCAGAGTCAGAGTACACAGAGAAACTGCAGCAGTACAGTAAGTCTCTTTGCTGAAATGCTACTCCTTCTTCAATTACTCTACATTCCAACAGCAGTATAAGAAATGACTGGCCATGCTCACCCACTAAAGTATTGTTCACATAACATACTGTAGACTGACTTGATCATCTTAGCATTGTAATAAGGTGTTGTGAATGAATGATTTCAACTCAGTACACAGTGTTATCTATTTAAAAATGTTTGTTTGGCAGCATAGATTCACTTTTCTGTTCTTGCCACTGAATCCCCTATAGTAACACCTGGAATGAAGGTCTACATTGACCCCTTCACTTATGAGGACCCCAATGAGGCAGTGCGCGAGTTTGCCAAGGAGATCGACGTCTCCTGTGTGAAGATCGAGGAGGTCATTGGCGCAGGTAACCCACCAAAGCTCCTGAGCTACAGGGGGAAGACTGCTAGTCACCTCCAGGCCATACCCTTAGAGGACTTCACACCAAGCGGTACTTTCACTCAATTCATCACTAGCCCTCTCCTTGCTCCCTACCTTAGTTTATTCGTCATCTCTTAGGAACCCTTTTCTAGTCTTCCAGATGTCTCTAGCACTTCCCTTTGTTCAAAATATTACTAGGTCCCCTTTAAGTTATTTAGTAAAGACTCACACTTCTAGCATCCTTACATTTTTTACTGTGCCTTGTGCATTTGAAGCAGCTGTAATACCTTTTGTTTGGTCAATTATCATTTCCCCCATGTCCTTTAAACAGAATCCAATCCTGGAATGAGAGAGATGCTGTTTAAGGAAATTAATTTGGTTTAAATAAATATGACACAGCAGTCCATTCCAAATGATTTGAAAATCTGATTAAAACCAATGGAAGTAGACTGTGGACAATACAAGACTACAGCCCCATACAGACAGGATTTCTTTCCCTGGGAGAGATTTGAATCCTGTCTGAGCACATGTATGTTTCTTCTCTTATCTCTTCCAATATTAATTACAGCCCTATTGTTTTTGCCATATTTGTTTCCATATTGTTTCATATAGACCTTTTGGTTATAAGATGTAAGTGTGAGTATTGTTGTGCAAATTCCCATTTTCAATATCATGAGGTTTAATGAAAAGAATTTTATATAGACCCATTACTTGGTTAATGACATAGAGTTATTGAAAGTCCATGTGGAGATTCAGACCATAGAGGTTTATCAGAGGGGTAGTGGCTATGTTGCAATAAATTGTTTTATGTGTAGGAGCCTGGGAAATGTCCAGGGTTATACTGGGTGTTACCAAGGAGCATGACTGATATTTATCTCCTGCACCCCTCTGAAGTATTAATCCTGTCTGAATGGGGTCTAAGATATTGGAATGTTTCTAGACCAGGACTGGCTGCCTCTGACCCTGCCCACTTTTTAATGTTTTGAGAACATTGTAAATATTAAAGGCTTCTACTGGATCATTGTATTTGACCCCTGTTCCTGGCACTCACACTTTTTCCACTGTGTGGTTGTGTCCCCTCCTTTAGAAATCCTTCCTTACATTTGATGTTGTAGACGGTAAAAAACATTTATGTATTTGATGCATTTGATAGTAATATCTTTGCTCAAAAGCTGCAGGACTCTGAGTTGTTTTAGTATTATATCTGAGCCAAAGTGGAGGACGTTGTGAGGGCAGAGATGGGAGTCCCTACTACTGCTTCTGCTCTTACCATCACTACTACTACTACTCCTCCTACTACTACTACGACAGCTCTTCTACTACTGAGGCTACTACTTGAAACCCGTCGCTTCCCGGCATTCGCCTTTAAAGTGACAAACCTTCAACCCCTGTCTCCCCTGTCCCCCTCCTTTCCTCTTCCCCTTCCTCACTCCATCCCTCCATTCCCCAATCCCCTGCCCTCTCTCCCCTGACTTCCCCCATTCTGTCATGTTTGCACCCATGTTGACACACATTGCCCTCTTTGTCTAATTTATTTATTTATTTTTTGCATTCTTGCACATGCTTGGTGAAGACTCTAAACGTAAAGCATCTACAACCCCAAGAACCCCCAAGCTTCTGTCTCCACCGATCTCCTCCTCCTGTGCCCGCTTCTCCAGCCCCTCCAAAGCTTAGCACCACCCATCTGTTTCTTGCCCCCTCCCTCCTTTGTCCCCATAAGCTCCATTCAGCCTGTCACTCTACCTTTTTTTTGTTTGTTTATTTCAACGTGCAGTTTTTCATTTTTACAACTTATCACATTCCATCACCATGCCTCACACTGTCTGTGCTGTTGAATTTAATTCGTAACTTAACATTACAAAGTCACTGTATGCTCCCCTGTCTCCATCATTCCTTGACACTGGCCTAGAGTCCTGGCTTCTCTTGCAGTTCCCCCTGTCCCACCCCTCCTGCTAGCCTTCCCTGGCTCCTTGGTTCTAACCAGTTAACTGTCCCCTCTCCCCTCTTTTCCCTCACTCTCCTCCACTCTTCCATCATGCCTCTCTCCCCTCCCTCTTTCTCTGTCTCTCCAACCATCTCTCCTCTTCCTCTTTTGCTGTTTATCTGGCTGTCTCACCTGGGCTCTCACAGGAGAGTTTGGGGAGGTGTGTCGTGGACGTCTCAAGCTGCCTGGGCGTCGGGAGATCATCGTAGCCATCAAGACTCTCAAAGTGGGCTACACTGACCGCCAGAGGCGAGACTTTCTGTCTGAGGCTTCCATCATGGGCCAGTTCGACCACCCCAACATTATCCGTCTGGAAGGTGTGGTCACCAAAAGCCGGCCAGTGATGATTGTGACTGAGTTCATGGAGAATGGGGCACTGGACTCTTTCCTAAGGGTGAGAAAACACAGGCACACATGAAACACATTACATGCCAGATTAGCCTAACTATTATTTACTCCTTATAAAACATGTATCTGTGATTTTATCAGCATTGCAACACTATCCAGCAAATAAGCCCCTCAAAATCTGTTTGATCCTGCTTTTACTTATCTCACTTTCTTTGGAACCATAAAAGGTCTTCTCAAGTTCCGCTGCAGAGACTGCAATGAATATCTGACAAACACTGTATTCAGGCAATTGGTGACATTTAGAAAGAGCTCAGTCTCCAATGAATCTGTGCTTTAAAGTCACATCATACACTGTCTGCCAGAAAAAAGAGAGTACAAAAAGATATGTAGACAGAACAATGGGTGATGGGTAGGTAGAAAAGAGAAAGAAGTCACAATGTGGAGTGTTGGGAGATGAAAGATAAGCAGACATATGCAAAGAAAGTAAGAAACACAGTGCAAATAAAGGTTAAAATGACACAAACATGTAATCCTTTGAGCATGCAACCTTGAACTACGTTCCAATTTATCCCTGTCATTCTCTCTCTTCTTCTGCCAGCTCAATGACGGGCAGTTCACGGTGATCCAGCTGGTTGGCATGCTGCGTGGAATCGCAGCAGGCATGAAGTACCTATCAGACATGAACTACGTGCACAGAGACTTGGCTGCCCGTAACATCTTGGTCAACAGTAATCTGGTGTGTAAGGTGTCTGACTTTGGCCTGTCTCGGTTCCTTGAAGATGACCCTACAGACCCCACCTACACCAGCTCCCTGGTGAGTCAGCGTGTATGTGTTTGTATATATGTATTCATGTTTGAAATCCATGTTTAAAGGTGCTAATTGTTTCATGTTAACATCAACAGAATACCTTTCATTGTTTAGTCCCTTTCACATATGAATTCACAAAACAGACAAGTATGAGTGTATTAAAAATAGATCTATGTCAAGTCTGTTCCCACATGACATGACGGTTCTGGGTAGAAAGGGAGTTCTTCTTCTTCTTAGTGTGAGGAGAATAAGAACAGTTAATGCAGTGGATAAAACTTTTTGGAGTCACAAAGTACCTCCACAGGACAGAATTATAGATTTTTTTTTATTTTTATTTTTTTTACCTAGAGGATATTTCGGCTTGATTCCAACTGGAACTGTAGCACTGTAGTAGTTAGGTGACAAATTACTGTAATATTGGATATGAAATATTGATTTTGACTCTTTAAATGACACAGCATGTAGGCCAACAGATCTTTTGAGATTGAATATAATTGTCCTGAATAGGCAGCCCCCTCCAGCTTGTATAAGTTCAGTTTTTTGTACTTCTGTGTCAGTTGACTTTTCAATACAGGAAAGGTTCCTATGCAACTTAGTTAAAGCTTTCTGAATATGTTACAATCAACAAACAAGTGATTTATGCTGACTGAAAAGTCACTTACAACATGTATATGCTGTTTAGTAAAGCAAGAAGGGGAGAAAAACCACCCAGAGCGATGTCAGGAAGAATGATGCATTACAGTACCTGTCTCTTGGTGACAGGAAGCACTGGTGTTAACTGGGAAGTGTGTTCTTTACTTTGAGAGATACTGCTGGTATATCAGTCATCCTGCCTACAATTCAATTAGTCTGGTACAAGAAATTATTCTAAAATGATCATGATATACTGATGTTGAAAAATACAGTCTGTAGCACATTAAATATTCTCATAGCTACACATTTGTGCATATCATTTTCTGTAAATGTGTTACTAACCTTGTGTGAAAGTGGTGTTTGAGTTGTACAGCATGCACCCATGTGTTGTGTTTCAGTGTTTTCCTTAGACTGTGTTTTACTCACCCTCTTTTTCCCTCTTGTACGTGTGTGTGACTCTGTGTTTGTGCTCCATCCCTCCAGTATTTCATGCTCACCTACTCATTCGCATATCCACAGGGAGGGAAGATTCCTATTCGCTGGACAGCTCCTGAGGCAATTGCCTACAGGAAGTTCACCTCAGCCAGTGATGTGTGGAGCTACGGCATTGTCATGTGGGAGGTGATGTCGTACGGTGAGCGGCCGTACTGGGACATGAGCAATCAAGATGTAAGATGATATGATGTGATATATTTATGCTTAATGGCACAGATGTAACTGCTGCCCTTTGAAATGTTCTCTGTCTCACAAAGCTGTTGTGCTGTTACTGCCCAAAAGCCACTGTCTCACTACATGGTCGCCTTTTAGGCCTCACAGCTAATCTTTCTATGGCCCTTATTTCCATGTATTACCTAAAGCCTATTTGCTTCTCTGACTCTTCCATCATTTTCCTTATTCATGTGCTTCTATCCTCCCTCTCTTGTTTTTTTCATTGACTCATTTCTCCTTTGTTCTCTGTTTTTTTCATTGACTCATTTCTCCTTGTGTTGTCTATTTTCTCTCAACACAATACTTGGTGATTAGAAGTGATTCCGATTTTCTTTTATCCTTTATATAGGTGATAAATGCTGTGGAGCAGGACTATCGGCTGCCTCCACCCATGGACTGCCCCACAGCTCTGCATCAACTCATGCTGGACTGCTGGGTAAAAGAGAGAAACTTGCGACCCAAATTCGCCCAGATTGTGGCCACGCTGGATAAGCTTATCCGCAATGCTGCCAGCCTCAAGGTCGTCACCAACAGCACACAGTCCACTGGGTAAGTCTTAGCAGGATTATATAAAAATGACGTTAAACATTAAGTTCAGAATCAGTATTACAGCTTTGTCAATCAAAGCTTTAAAGAAAATGTCCTATCTGGTGTATACTTGGTAGAGCTGGTAATTATAGAAATAGACTGATTTGCAGTCTCTCTTAGTTTCAAAGTCTTTGATGGGTTTTATTAGGTGGATTAGTGGTTTCTATAAAAGGAAAAAAATGTTTGATTATAGTCCTTGAATAATGAAAAATATTGCTTATTGCTTTCTAAAAACCTTCTCTGGTCTTCTTAAGTCATATATCAGTGAAGACCTGCTGGACTCGTAATAACTACAGTAACAGTTTACTTGACTTTGCAGCTGTCATAGTACTGGGTGAGCCATTTCATTTGCATCGAAGCGAGATTTCTACTGTGCAAATATTCCTTATCTAAATTGATACAGTATATGTGAGTCACTCTGACTCAGCTGTAACCATCTCTTAACGCCAATAAAGTGCAGATTTCGTCCCATACATCTCTTTAGTTCTCACAAATGCAGCTGGGCCATTATGTAAATGGCTGATCAATGCAGCCTTTCAAGCAACTTCTTTGCCAACTGGGAGCTCAATCAATGATGTCACATCTACATTTAACCGCACCACCTTTATGCTGCAACTTGTTTCTTGGAAAGAGTTTGGAGGAGTGAAAGTGGCAGAGTTGGAGCACAGAGGAGGGGAAGGAGGGGTGACCTACCTATCTGTCCCTGCCTCAGGATCTTTCTGTCTTGAGGGAGGGCCGCAGACAATCCTGGGTTGGGCTCTGGGGGGAAACCAGGGTCTCGGTTGGCCACTGAAGTGACGTTCTTAGAAGATGAAGCTCGTAGTTAATTAGCTCGATTAGGGCGATGCAAAAAAGAGATGGGAGCACTATTTAATTAGCCACTAACGAGATTTTAAACGGGCCATAGGAGAGGTGGCCGCCTGCTGACAAACCTAACAAGGGAGGAGTGAGAGATGATACTGTTGTCCTGGTCGGTATTGAAGGGTGGCTGGAAGTTAGCTAACACTGTCTGTCATACTGTGAAAGTTCTTTGGTCATGTGAGTTATGTGTTCCTGATTTGATTGGATACTGCACTGTAGGTGTGAAGTGTAATGAGTAATTGAGATTTGGTGATGCTTCCAGCACCAGTGTCAGGAGTCATTTATGTGTTTATCTTTCTACTGTTGAGTTTCTATTGTAAATCAAGCAATTCACTTTTCAGAAATGATCCACATGCACTCTCTAATTTTCTTGAAATGCAAAAGAGTCCCCTGACCCTTTGTGAACTGCGACAGTCCCAACCATTAACCATTAATTTAGGCTAGGCCTGTAACAGTATTT